CAATGTTTCTGTCTAGCCTGATGTATTTCTTAGTTAATTTACTTCAATGGTTCTAAACTCATCTAATTAAATTAAGATAAAAGTTATTTCTGGTTGGAAGAAAAAATTTTCAGAGAAGAATGAATTTTGCATGTAAATAATCATAATAAAGTTTGTAATTTTAGTACAATATTCAATTATATAATAACTATATTTTAATATACACACATAGTTCAGTAAAATTCTTCAACTTTTTAAGAATTCAGTAGCATTCTTATACAAACTAGTATAAGCTGCCAGTATTCCCTAAAATAATGTAATAAATTTATATCTTCCCAAATTTTCTAAATTCTCATTTTTACCCGACACCAAAAACCCGTTTTTTTCCTACTTATAATTAAGTTCTATATTAAAAGGAACCTTCACCGTATTAAAAACATATTTATATTAATTACATTAAAATTGCAATTGGTTGTCCTGGTCCATTTTTAGGCTTATTCAAGTGTGCGAACCTTTGACGTAGTTCTTCCACCGCGCGCTGGAACTCTTCCACGCTGTCTGCAACTTGGTTCGTATTATGCTGGGAATTTTCTTGAGACCGAAACCCCTCGTCCCTATTCCTATCCTCTTCTGCGGCATCGGCATCCGTACTAGTAGTGGAGGATTGAATTGATTCATTGCGCTTGGCCTCTCCAAGCAGAACTTGACGGCGATACTGCGAAAAATCTGTGAAACCTTGATTCATGGAGTTCAAAGGACGTGAAGCCGTTGAATATAGACCAACAGAAGGCAATGAAGCCAATGGCAAAGATTGCGTAGTATGCGATTGAAGGCCTGTATTAAATGTAGCAAATGAAGCTGCGCTCGGTGTTGGCGAAACATTTATGCCGCCGCGTACACTATTCACCGGTATAAATTCACCATTCGCACCAACGACTATTAATGTATTCGGTGGATACTGAATGTTATTCCCGCCGTTCGAAATTGGCCGAGAAGTAGTGGATAAAAGGCTTGACAGTCTATTGGAATTGATTGGATTTGGTGTTGTCACCAAAATCAGATTTTCTGCCATTAACCCTTGCAAATCTTGTAAATCGCCTTGAAAAATGCGAAAACCTCCGCCACCACCACCTGGTTGGAATATAAAGTTTGTTGTTCAAAAAATAGTAGCGCTAAAATAATTAAAAGTCATTATTTACCGCCTCCGCCTCCAATCGCTCCTCCACCGCCAGCACCTCCTCCTCCACCGCCACCACCTCCTCCTGCGAAACCGCCTGCACCTCCCCCTCCTCCGGTCCCATTACCACCACCACCGCCACCTCCTCCGCCACCCCCACCACCTGGTCCAATAAAACCGAAACCTCCACCGAAATTTTGTGGCAAAAAGGGACAGCCGCATATGCCAGGTGGTCCTGGCGGTCCCGGAGGGCCGTGTGCGTGAGGAAAATATGATGGCGTACTGTAGCCAGGCTCTCCTCTGGGACCAGGCGGCCCCATAGGTCCTGGCGCTCCGGGTTCACAGGCACATTTCATCAGCGATGCTCTAGTGCCCGTCCACACTGAAACTGCAACAAATTTGGTAATCAGTAAAAGATCTTAGTTTTGTTTTTAAGATGTCACTTACTGAAAATTGTAGCCATGAGGCCACTGCACTTCATTCTAAACTTGATATTTTTTCCAAATAAAATTACAAACCAGATGTTATCTCGTTCGAGTTTCAGTTGACTATGAGAGACAAACTATATTCGCTCACTATTTATATACAACTGCTGAAAGTGAATTTTACCGTTACTAGAAATAAAAAATAAAATTGAAATGCCGTTGAATGAGCTGGTCGTAAAGAAATATGTTTTCACTCATTCAGAACTTTCAACCATCGAATGCATTAAATTTTCAGTCTTTAAGAACTTGTCGCCGAAAGCCGTTACACTAAACGCACTCAATCCGTTATTTTATAATAAAAAAAAGTTAACCACGCTGAGATATGCGACAATTCGATCGCTACTAACTACTAATGTCAATTATTGGTACAACAAAGCAACAAAGAACAATATGAATACTGCAGCGTTCATCCGTTAGTGAAAGAAGCATAAATGCATTGAATTGATGCACAATGCGATAAGCAGCGCGGCTTCTTCAAGTTTCAAACATACCTCACATATGGACAAACAGTGGTGAATAGGAATACCTTTTTGGAGTTCAAATGAGCTAATGGAATGTGCAAGATTTTAGCTTATTTGTTTTGACGTCTGGTGTTTTAAAAGATATGCGGCTATTGTGTCTAACGAAGATAGTACTCTGAACCCTGTTTGGCGCCACTTTTTTATTTTTTCATAAGACCTTAAATCGTCAATGACGCGTTGAACGTTAGTTTTCAACTTGGTTTTCTATGTCAGCATTATTTATTGATTTGTGACCGCAAAAAATTAGTTTAAGGGGGCAAAATGTTTAAATAGTCAATGAATATGCTTACTTCTTGTCTCCACGATTCTTAATTAATAGCAGAGTGTAAGTCAATGGTAATTTGTAAATGTGTTTACTTTGAAACTCTATGAAATTCAATAATATTTTTTAATTGAAATATACAGTTTGTCAAGTAATTCTTTGCAAAATAGAAAACGTAGATAGAAAAAATGGATTTATTTCAGTTTTTTCTTTTAAATTATAATAAGAGAGATTATTAGCTACAATATGGATAAAAAAAACCTTTTTCAGCATAAAATATAACAAGAAATCAACAAAAACAAAAAGTATGCAAATATTTGGCTGTCAATTAATTCTTTGCAAAATGCAAACAGAAGCTAAAGTGAGACACAAAACAAAGCAACGGTAAATCAAATTCCAGAAAAATCATGACGTGCGTCTGGAATATGTTCTTAAGTCTCGTTTTATTACGGTTTTGGTTTTAACAAGTGCACAAGTGTTCGTAATACGGTATTAAAACAATGCGTGGTAAAAGAGTTGGTGAAAATGTAATACNGTACAAGTACTCATCACACGTAGCCAGAAAGAAACCTATGCTTTCTGCGATCAATATCGAGAGACGGTTAAACTTTTCTATTGCCAATGTTAACAAGCCGGCGGAGTACTGGAACGACGTTATTTTTTGTGATGAAACTAAAATAATGTTGTACTATCATGACGGACCCAACAAAGTCTGGAGAAAGCCTAAAGCAGCCTTCAAACAAAAAAATATCGTACCAACAGTAAAGTTTGGCAAACTTTCTGTAATGGTTTGGGGATGTATTTCATCCAAAGGTGTTGGAGAGCTTCGTATATTTAATGATGTAATGACCATAGAATTTTATTTGGATATTTTAAAAACTGAATTAACAAAAAGCGTCTTGGATTTTGGGTTCGTTAGTCCTCAGAATCCAAATAAACTGCAATATAAACTCTATCAGGACAACGACCCCAAACACAAATCGCTCCTTTGCAGGACTTGGCTGCTGTATAACTGCAGCAAAGTGATCGACACTCCTGCCCAGAGTCCTGACCAAAACCCTATCGAAAATTTGTGGTCTTTATTAAAGAAGAAGGTGGCTAAACGGGGACCAACAAATAAAAACGCCTTAATAAAAGCAATTACAGAGGAATGGAAGAAAATACCGGAGTATTACGACATAAATGGTCTTATACATTCCATGCCTCGTCGCCTGAATGCAGTCTTGGCTGCCAAGGGACGCCACACCAAATATTAGAACCATAAATGTTATAATTTATAAGTTTTCTTTACAAGTTTAACCAATATTTACATTTTGCAAAGAATTAATTGACAGCCAAATATTTACACACTTTATGTTTTTGTTGTTTTCTTATTATGTTTTATGCTGAAAAATGTTTTTTTTAATCATAATTGTAGCTAATAATCTCTCTTATTATAATTTAAAAGAAAAAACTGAAATAAATCCATTTTTTCTAAAGAAAAATAAACTTGAAAGTTTATTTCAATGATTTTTTCCATTTTGCAAAGAATTACTTGACAAAGTTAAGGATTTTAGTTAAAAAAGGTTGTTGTTTTAGACATGTGGTTTTCAAGAAGAAATAAAACGTATATAACTTAATGTTGTGGCCAAAAATTTAACTTTATTGTTATAGGGTTTGACATTAAATTTTATAATTATTTTATAAATTCCAGCCGAGAGCCCTAATTTTGACGACTTCTATTACTCAAGAGTTGAATTTTGTAAACCCTCAAACCAAAGCCCTTTCGCAAAATCTTCCACAAATGCAGGGGCACAGCTTCAATTTTGGCATTATTGCGTTCGATGACGGATTAATTCATTCGAGCCTTCTTCAATATTCTGCTCAACGTCAGCAATAACGTTTTCGCTGTGCACTGCATGCAATCTCTGAGATTGCGCACTATCCACTAGAGTAATCGTGTGGCGATTCTCTTTTGCTCAAATTATCGACTCTGCGATCAATTATGTCGACCGAAACGAGAGTGCGCGAACCGAACCATTATTTTGTAATAAATTTTAACGACATGGAAAAGTTGTTCCAGAGTAAATTTGTTTATTATGAAATGGCAAACTACATCAATATATGTAAATCAAGTAACAGCTGTCAAAATGTCAACACCGAAAAAACCGAATTATCTCATTGAAAACCACACGTCTAAAAAAACACAATTTGGTTCCTCAAAATTTAAGCTGTTTTCGTATAATCTGGTTTGAAAGTAATGTTTGAATCGATGTTCATTCGTGTAATTATGCGAAGTAGGACTGACCTCGGAAAATTACATATGAAAATTTAAACAAATAAATGTGCATACATACATACATATATGATATCATTTGAGCGTTTTAAATGTGTAATTAAGTTAAGATTTCTCTTCTTTAGAGTTTGTAAACATCCGTAGTCTAAAATAATTATATTTTCTGTCATAAAATACTAAAGCTCTATTTTGGCTTTAATGATATTACAATCATGAACATTTAAGTCGCCGTGAAATTTTAGATTAACTGCTTTCCTCAAAATTTGTTTTAACAATTTGATATTTTCTTGTTCAATTATAGGAACGCTTACAGTAGAAGAGGTTTACAAAGATCGCGACCAATTCGCTGCGCTGGTACGCGAGGTAGCCGCACCTGATGTCGGCCGCATGGGCATTGAAATACTCTCATTCACCATCAAGGATGTCTACGATGATGTGCAATATCTGGCATCGTTGGGCAAGGCGCAAACGGCGAGCGTGAAGCGTGACGCTGATGCGGGTGTGGCCGAAGCCAATCGAGATGCCGGCATACGCGAAGCTGAATGTGAGAAGAGCGCCATGGATGTGAAATATTCCACGGACACCAAAATCGAGGATAATTCGCGTATGTATAAATTGCAAAAGGCCAACTTTGATCAGGAGATCAATACAGCGAAAGCTGAATCGCAACTGGCTTACGAATTGCAAGCAGCAAAGATACGACAGAGAATACGTAACGAAGAAATACAAATCGAAGTTGTCGAACGTCGCAAACAAATCGAAATCGAAGCGCAAGAAGTGCAGCGCAAGGAGCGCGAACTAATGGCTACCGTTAAACTGCCAGCCGAAGCGGAGTCACATCGTGTGCAGACAATTGCGCAGGGTAAACAGTAAGTATCATATTACTCCGAGTGTAATGCTTTTAATGAAAAATACTTTGTATTTCCTTCGCAGGTGTCAGACAATTGAGGCGGCACGCGCAGATGCCGAAAAGATACGTAAAATAGGTTCAGCCGAAGCTCATGCCATTGAGCTTGTCGGCAAAGCAGAGGCGGAACGCATGCGTATGAAGGCACATGTCTACAAACAGTATGGCGACGCTGCCATCATGAATATTGTGCTCGAATCTCTGCCTAAGGTGAGTAATACTGTACAGTTAATTCCAAATACCATCTATACAAATTTTACTGGACTCAGCCTTGTATGCTATTTTTACTATCGAAAGAAATTTTTGAATTGAAATTTTATAGCTTGTTTGCTTTAGCAAGATAAATAATTCGAATAGCATCATATAATTGGAATAAGGGGGTATTCTAGTCTAGAGGCTCGAATTTCGAACTTTTTTTAACAATTAATAAAAAAGAAGCACTAGATGTTTTTACTATCCGTTTATTTATCACTTGCTTATGAAACTTAGAAGAGTACACAAATTAATTTTCAAAAAAAAAAAACATTTTGTTTATTGAGTTATGCGTCCTTGAAGAAAAGGGGGGAAAAAAGAGTTCGTGTCCTCATAGCCATGATTTCTACCCTTGTCGTCATCCGAAAAATAAAACTATGACATATTCTTAATAACTACGAATGTCGCTATGTCATGAAGCAGCAAAACTAAAAAAATAATTCATAACATGGCGGCTACTCAAAAAAAAGGTCGATTTTTTCACTAATTTTTCAATTTTGTCGATTTTTTTTTTTTTAATATTATAAATTTCAAATTTTTATTTTTTGTTGCTACTAGGGATAGAGATATATTTAAAGAATATTCATGCCGAATTTCTAATAAATCGACTGATTAGAACTTGAATATTGTGGCTACCGCATCATAAAAAGGAGTTTTGAGAAAAACGCGTTTAAAGTTTTACGTTTAAGTTTCGGGCAGCGTAATAGATAGATAGATAGTTCGCTCAACCGGTCTAGTTGCCACGTCACTAAAATGGCTATAACTTTGAAAATAATTTGAGTTTTGAAAAATTATTTTAGGGAGATATTTTTGAATATCAAAACTATTGAATTTTCGATTTTTTCAAATTTCTGGACTAAAATACCCCCTTAAAGAATTCAAAGACATCTTTTATAAATGGAATATACACATTTTGGTGGTTGCTTTGACCTACGGTTCAAGATGGTTCTCAATAAGACACATTTCACTCCACACCGAGAACCAAAAATCAATCAGGGATATACAGACGAATTAATAGTTTCCATAGTTGACTTGCTTTAATTTTCAATACAAATATCAGTTGTAAAAATAAAATATTTGTAGCTCTTTCTCCAAACAAATTGCTTAGACCGGGCTACTATAGCATACGAGTATAGCTACCATACAAGCTGAATGCTCAAAATTAAGCCTTTGATGAAGAACTTTTTTGTCTGACAAGATGTCTTCCCTGAATTCCACGGGGATTATTGCAAAGCAATACTAAAATCTTCGAACAAATTTTTTAGTTCGGACCGCTACAACATAGCATACAGCTGCGATACAAACTGAACGACAAAAATCAAGCTCTTGTATGAGAAATATTGTATTTGCGTAGAGTATTATAGCTTCGAGGCAAACAAACWTAACGTCTTTTCTTTTTTTTTTTTATAGATCGCTGCCGAAGTAGCTGCCCCACTCGCCAAGACCGATGAGATCGTACTCATTGGCGGCAACGATAACATAACCAACGATGTCACACGTCTAGTAGCACAATTGCCACCGTCCATTAATGCAATCACCGGCGTCGATTTGTCGAAAGTATTATCCAAAATACCCGGAGCCAAGGCGTGAAATTCAATGCAACACTCAAGCATGCAAACGCCTCAAGATGCCCGAACGATGATGTTGATGACATAAAGATTAAAACGTTAAATGGAACAAGTTGGAAAATGATAACTGAAATACGAAACAAAAGAAATATTATGATCAAATAATAAATGACACAAATTATGACGAAAAATAGAGAAGAAGAAAGTGCTAAACATAAACGAATTATAATATAAAAATAATTGCAAAAACAACAAAAGGAATGCTAAATTTTAGCACGATGTTCAGAAAATAATAAAGCAAAGTAACAGTTCAATCTAAGCAAAGATAAATATTAAAAACGAAAGGAAAATAAAAAATTGGATAAAAGAGTAAAAAATATACACAAAACTAAAAGCGAACTCTGGCTTAAGCGTCTATTTTGCATGGAATTAGTAATCTAAATATACTCGCCTCCTTAATATAAATGTACAACACACTTTTATACAAGCAAGCATATACAATCTTACATAGTATCTTTATATGTACATATGTATATCTAAAAAGAATTTAAATTATTTAGAAAAAACGTTCTAGGCACAAACGCAACTACAATAAAGTTTCTACAAATGTTCTCAAATTTCCTTTATAACTACAGTACTGCGTAGAAAAGGAAACGAAATAAATTAAAATTAGTTTTTACAAAACTGACTGGTAAAAAAAAAATATATATCTATATAACTCTCTTCCGTTTCATAGCCACATACATGCATTGTAAATGAACTATATTCTTGTCTCAGTGTCTCCCAATCAAAAGAAATATGAACATAAAATATGTATAGCAACTTTCTCAATTAAGAGTATTCAAAGTTAACAATGTACTCTTTGTAATTTAGTTTTTTATGTGTAACTTTTGAATTAACAGTAAGAAAAAAGTGTTTGACTTAGCAAAAGTAAAAAAAAAAATTTATATGACAACACTTTAAGCCAGATATGAACAATTAACTGCTGCCATTTTCAAAATGGTTAATATTTTCTCGACTTACGTTACACTATGTATAACTTTTTAAAATTTTTCAAATTTACAATTAAATAAAATAATAATTAAAATAAAATAAAATAATTAATTAAAAAGTTTTTGTATTAGCAGGTGTTCAGCTTGATATTTTATACAGTACATACACACTGCAGATATAGTACATAGTTTTCTGAAAGTTCACTCGAAGCATATGTTTATAGAAATTACATATACTTGGAAAAAAAGCAGCTCTTCTGCAATGAATATGCGTTTCGATTCATCACTTTTATTATAAGTCTATACTTTTTTTTTTACAGTTGCTTTAACTTGTTTAATGAAATCGATAGCTCAATTTGAAAAGCTCGAAAACTATTAATTACAAAATAAACTGTGTAGACACAGACTTCTCCACTGAACTGAACATCAAAAATAGTGCAATGTTCAGTTAGTAAGAAGAAATAGTGCTTATTTGGACGATGAAATTTATATGAATTTATATTAATACACTTTGGGTTGGTACCCAGTAGCTAATATTGCTAGAACAAAAAAAATCAAACCGTTTGTATTCTGTATCTGTCTATTAAAATCAAATAAATGTTCCTTGCAAAAATCATACAAGTTATTTGTAGGAATTACAAAAAATGCTCAATAAAGGGAATTCAGTTTAACATTTAAGCTCTAGCTACAAATTTACAAAATCAGTTCGCAAATCAATTTATTACATTTAGTACGCATCAAATTCAAAAAAAATTAAATACGCCATGCAATAGATGAAATAATAATTTAGAAAAATATGATATCTTTTTCCATTTCGTTGTGACATATTTTTAACTATACGTGATGCAAACAAAAAAATACGTATTTTGAGCAACAAACTTGCATTATTGTTTTTTGTTTTAATTATGAAGTTCGAATAAACAGTTTATCAGTGTGCAATAAAGTGGAGAAAACTGTGCAATATTTGTGAGTTTATAATTGAACTTATTTTTTATTTTATTTTATTTTATTTTATTAAAGCTTACATAATAAACAAATTATTAAATAAACTAAAGTACGCAGCGCTAGCATCAGAGGCTTTCGGCTGAACTGACCCTCACTTAGTTTTTCCAATATATAAAATTGTGTTCCGCGTTTATATGCACTGTATTAACACTCGATTACGTTATCGATTTCTCATAAAACTTGATAAAAAATACAATTTTCCACAGCACATCATGCATTTAAAACAGTTCTTTACTTCTTAGTATTGTTTAAAACTAAAAATATTCAAACCCTAAAAAATACCTATGTGCTCTATTTGGAAAGTTTTGCATACAATTTTTCTAGCGAAATTTGTTCCCATTTTCAATTTCTTTACATCTTACTACCGCACAATCCAAAGGCTGTAAAGGCTATGTGGTTATGGTATATAGTATACAGTAGGCATTTTTGACCAAAAACCTTTTTTTGATTTTGGTACATATTATATAATTTCAAGGATTTGCATATTAATTTAATTTAAAACTAAAAATTATAATTCATTAAAAGAACTTGAGGGAATTACTCACTCAAGTTAAATTCTTTTGCCAAATTCTCACAGTCACGTACAATTGTGTAAGGACTTAAGTTAGAGTTATATATGTGCATGTTAGACATATCGTTTCGAAAATTAGTTTTTATTGAAAATATATTACATTAAATTTAGTTGAAAATAAGAAAATATCATTTGCCATATCAAATCGAGTCTTGGGAATTTATTACGATTGTTGATTTCTATAAATTAAAAAATATATATGTATAAATATGTACTGTTAATTTTTGTTATAATTAAATAAAGTTTGTTTGTTCCGTATATGTTATTACGTAATTATTATAAAAATACTATACACTTACTAGGCATATTCTTCTTCTTCTTATTTGTTACTTTGAGTTCACAAACACAATAACACGAGTATATACATAGTATACACAGATTATATACTATGGTTTAGCGCAATATAAATAAAGTATCTAAGTATATAACAAATATTTCTTAACTGTACCATATTTTATTGAAATTGCTGCAAATTTCTTTAAAATTATTACATATATTTAAATCAAACAATCAAACACAAAATCGAGTGTATACAAGCCTAAGGAACAAAACTACAACAATTTTAGAGCATTTAAATTGTCTATCTGATAAACAATTGATATTTGTAAGTATTTACTTTTTGGAAATTTATTTAGTTTAAAAAAATTGCAAATAAAATGATGATAAATATAATGTTAACTCAACTTCAGCGTAAATAATAAGTAAAGTGCTTTACAGTTATACAGCCACGCCATGTAAACGTCACACAAATACTGCGAAGCATTTTCCAATTCATGCAAAATATGTTGAAACACACACTCAATAATGTTCAATCGGAGATACAATATATTTACTTATACATACATACATATGTATGTTTATAAAGCATTAGTCACAGTCAACAATTGTAAAAGAACAAAATGGCTAAAATATACATAAAAGGAGTTTAGATTGTAATATAATATTTTGTAAAAACCATACACCTTGAATGAAGATTTAAATAAATTGTACTTTTGTGTATTGATAATAAAATGAACGCAATTTATTTGTCTTCATTTTTATTATTATTTTTTTATTTAACATTTCTTTATTTATTCCATCTGCTTGTTAAAGAGTTTAGGCACAGTCATGAAAAAAATACAATTTTAAATAACTCTTTGGCCAGTATATAATTTTATTTTATAAAATTAAAAACATTGCATATTAAATAAGTTATCGACTTGACTTGATAGAAATTGGCAAAAAAGTAATAATGTGCGATCTAAGTAGAGGTATTTTTTCAATAAAATTTTTGGACACACAACTCATTGCCAAGCTGCCATTGGCAATTCCTCATGGAAAGACTTACGCCTGAACAACGTTTACAAATCGTTCAACTACGAAAAATCACGTTCTGTAAAGAATGTGTTTCGCGCGCTTCGCTCAACTTATGATAATCGACCTACTGAGCGTAATATTTGCAACGCCATCACCCATCTTGAGACCCAGCATTCATTATTGGATAATATTCGATAAATTATTTATTGAAACGTAATAAAATGATAATTTTGCATTTCATTGTAATTGCAACTAGTGATAAATGTAAACCAATATGCAATATTTATCTCAATTTATAAAGTAAAACTATAAAGCTGTAATAACAAGCTTTTTTTTAAACTAAACTTAATAATTAATTATTATGATATTTGTTGTTTTCTTAGATTCTTAAGAGTTCATCAAACGTTGTTCTTTTCAGTCTGTGCCTGCTATTTCTAGTATCTCCTAGTTGTCGAGCTTCATTGTTTACATGATTTTGTAACCTTTTTGCTTGTTTCGTTGCCGTTTGAAGGACTTCCCGAACCATTTTTAAATGAAGATCACGATGCAGATCCGAACTGCGTATGTACCACGGGGCATTTACAATTTTTCTCAGAGCTTTGTTTTGGAATACTTACACCGCTTCATTGTATAGAGGTGCAGCGTATCCCCATAGTTGAATTCCGTAGGTTCAAATAGGTTTCAAAGTTTGATTGTAGACTAGGATTTTCTTTGATATTGTTAAGGGTAATTTCTTACCGATCATTACTTCATTTTCAATATGTAAGGGGATATATGTATATAGCACTGCCACTTTTGTTAATGTAGTTTATATGGATAGACTTCAACTCGTTTTAAGTAATGTACCATTTCTGTGTCCATTCTACAATTTCATTTAATGAAGATAGCATTCTGTGCGACGACTCAACTTCATTTTTGCCGGTCGCAATGATGCAGGTATCATCTGCAAATGTGGCGATTTCGCAATTTTGCGGCGCAGGCATGTCGCTAATAAACAAAATGTATAAGAGTGGTTCCAGGACACTTCGTTGCGGTACAACTGTTTTTATCGGCAGTAACGTAGTATATGATTGTCCCTGCTTGATTCTGAAGTAGCGGTTGCTCAGATAAGAGTCAACTAGGTCGGTAAGATAAGGAAACGCCTGGAATACGCCCAGAAATACAGCTGTGCAATTGCTTTTTTTCCATCGCATCTTCAATTATTCTCGTTATTCGATGAACTTAATCGATTGTGGAATGTTGAGAGTCCAAATTGAGGAATTGGTATTAGTCCCTTTTCTTCAATTATATTCTGTAGTTTGGACAAAATAGGCAACAGTGAGATTGGACGATATAACGAGGCCTCATGTGCGCTTTTGCCAGGTTTTTGTAGCATAATGATATCAGATTCTTTCCCTGACATTGAGACGTATTTGAGATTTAAGCAAGCGTTTATTATCGATGTAAGTTTTTCTAATGCTTTTCGCGTTAGATTTTTCAGTACCTCAGCAGTCACCAAGCCGA